AATATGTGATGTTTCTTTGACGCAAAAAAAAGAGCCAATTTACCCGATAACTTATTGCTAAACTACGAATCTTGAATTTTTTCACCTAAATTTTACTAAAAAACTTTATGTTTCTCTCAGAACAACACTTCAAACTCAAATCTAGTCTCTAACAAACGTCAGTCAGATAAATTGACAAATTCATCTCAAATAACACAGTTTTTCTGATTGTGCTTTTTACAAAGCGAAATACGGTTCGATTAAAAAATAAAAAAAGTACAGACGAACAGAAGAAGATAAAATTGATAAATTCTGAATAATACTGTTTGATTATTTTGATAAATGCATTAAAACTTGCTTTCGACATGTTTTATCAAAGAAAAATGACATATCTAAGAAAAAATTCTAAACCGTTAAAAATCGACATAGACCGGCCGATCTGACCATCTCAATCGATTCGGTCCGGCCGGACCGGTTCCAACTCTGATGTGAGTACAAATCTTTCAAACTTTATATCAGCAGGTGAAAAATCCATTTTTTCACCATGTCCAATTGCACGGATTTTCAAGGTGGTATAAGAAAGTTTAAACACAATATGTAACTGTTTTACTATATGTTTCTATACTACTATCGTCTGCATCATCTCATGCATCAAGAGAAATACTTTCGGCTTATGGTTATTATATCTTTAGATAGGTACTAGAAATATGTAGTCAACATGAATTATATCGATGGCTAATCATTATACTATGATGTTGAATAGTTCATCTGAAAGTAGACTATTCTTCCTATTTTCTCATTTTTAGCATGATTTCATAGTTAATCTATGCGTCTATCAATGATATAATGATTTAGAAATTCTACTACCTTAGTGCTATATTTATATAGCTTTATAAAATTCAAATTATTATTTGTAATTATGGTAAAAACGTTATGCCTGAAAATGCTCATGAAAAAGTAAATAGTGGTATTTTCTAATTCAATAAATACAACACATTGAAGTCGATGGAAAGTTCGTAAAATCTTTTTATCACATATTTTAAGTTAGTGAGACTTTTAATCGCAGAAAGTTTCAGATTCATTGTAGAAATGTTTCTGTAGCGTGGGTGGCTATTCCGTGGAACTATTTCTTAATGTTGTTTTTTCAATCCTGAAGATTGAAGCCTTTGAGTTGCTTATTCATGTGAGAATCATGTAATACATTTATATGAATAGAATGTGTAGTAATTGCATATATTCATTTGACAATAGTCATCTAATGTGTATTTGATTATTCTAAAAATAGCACTTGATGAAGTAAAAAAAACATACATTTGTTTTGCTAGTAGAATATCCTTTTTCTCTTGAAAATCATCTTTTTTAATATTAGAACTGAATGTGTGAGTGTGGTAGGGCTCTGTGGTTCCAAGAAATAGCTGGAATCGAAGTTGGAACCATGGTTTCGGTTTGTTGATAGTATGTCAAATAACTCTTGAAAGTATTTTTAAAAAATTTCTATCTTTCATTTTAAAAACTTGTTGATATTTATTATTTTATTGAAAAATTTATTTCGTGAAAAACCAAAAAAGAAAACAGAAAGATTAACAAGTGTATGGATGTAATTGTTGATAGTCTCTTTTCTTCCATCTACATGTACACTCCAAATGACTCCAATTATCAATAATAAAAAAAATTCGGTTCAAATCGTTTCAATTGCGATTTCAGCTCTGATACAAGAAACTGAAAAATTTAGGTTTCTGTTCGATTCGCAATTCCATAGTTTTGAAAATGGAAGCGGTCTAGAGTATGGGCATGAGTACGAGTAGAATAAAGATATCGTTCTAATCCAGATTCAAAATCAAATAGTCATATAACCATATATCAATGACAATCTACACCTACCGACTTATATTGTTTCTTATCAAGATTTACCTTTCGTTGCTTATCAAAAAAAAAAGATCAATTTCATCTAGCAACAATCGAAACTTTAATTTTGACTGAGATTATCATGGAGGAAATTCAAATTTCTATTTTGCCTGGATAAATTTGAGAATTTGATTGAATCTCAACATCGATCACAACATATGTACATATATAGAATGAGTCAAGATCGTTAAACTCAATACTAAGTAAATTATTAAAATCACTGTAATAGAATAATACAAAAGATATATACTAGTGGAAGAGAAAAATCCTAAACATTTTATTTAATCTTTGTTTAACAAAAAAAGAGCTCAGCAACGTCATTTTGGTGAATAACTTTTATTTGACAGTAACCATACGTTTCTTCGTCTCAACAAAGAAACAACGGCTCTAGATTGACATATACGCTCTCTTGATCAAGTGAAAAAAACCCTTTTTCTTTTCTGTATCTCATTTTCTTCACAATTTGCTAATTAGAATGTGCACTGAAGCGATAAGATATATCTCGTTTACTTTTCTCTTCTTTCTCTCACTTAAGAGTGCATTTGCTCTCGAATTACAAGAGGGTGTTTTTCAATTTAATAATGAAAAGAACAGTTATTGAAGATTCAACTGCATCAAACATGCTTCCTTCTTGTATCAAGCGACAAAAGAAAACTATTTCATGTAAATGTAAAATTTGTGGAGCTCCAGCTCGATATTCTTATTATGGTGCCATTGTATGTCATTCATGCAAAATGTTTTTCAAACGAAATGCAGAAAATAGAGAAGTTAATCGAAATTACAATGTTTTTTATTTCTTTACTTAAATTGATTTATTTAGGCAGTATCAAAATGTCACCTTGGTAATAAGTGCGATATTAAAATGAATAATCGTCACATATGTACTTCATGTCGACTTGCCAAATGTTTCAAAATTGGAATGTGTGTTGAGATGATTCGATCTCGACGATTTAAGAAAAATCAGAGAAAAAGAAAATTGGTGGTTGATTCAAATCGATCAATATCACCAACATCAGAGTTAGTAAACAAAACACACAAACCTATGCACGTGAGTTTGCTTATACGTTATATTGTCATACCCGCTTACACATTATGATTATAATTAGATTCGATATAAGAATAACAAAGGTTAGAAAACGACGTAGTATACTCAAAAATCAACAGCTTTACTTTTGAAAAAAGAAAAAAAATATTGATTATCATAATATAACTATCAGTAATATGAAAATCATAAAAAGAACTAAATCATTAAGTTCATAATGAAAATTCTTCTAAATAGACTGAAAACAAATTCTTATTCTATAGCAAATACTAAATCCAATTTTATAAATAAAATTTTATAGAGTGAGATTTAGATAGAACCGTTTGAATCGAGCATTTTGTGATTCGGACTCGGATCCAATTTTTATAACGTGTTCTAGGTTCTAAATTGGAATCCAAACGTATATCTAATTTCAACGGAATGTTTTACTCTAAGTTTTATAATTTCTTCGTATATAGCTTCTTACAAGTGGTACATATTTCTCGAGCAATCTCGATGATTATCGTATAGTAATGAAGTCATCATCGACCGTTACTTCTGAAGTTTAAACCGTTCGATCGATTCACAACTTCGACCTTGATGTGAAAAAATCCGAGACAAACACAACAGTGTCTAGATATGATTGTGCTCAAATGTTTTCATTAGAATGAAAATTAGTTCTTTTCAATCGATTGACTTATTTAAATAATTGAAAAATATTAAATCAATATCGAATCAAAAAAATAAACACAAAACCTATGGTTATGGTTTAATTCTATATCTCAGATTTTAGATAATAGTTTCCAACGGATATTATTTACATGAATATTTCGCCTATTAAAAATATTTTTTTTTATCGGTTTGTTTTTCAGATTCCAGAATCAAATTTGACAGAACCTGATCAATCAACATTAAGTGTGGATCAATGGAATCTTTTATCAAATTTAGTTCATCATTTCGATGAAAATAGTGGATATGCATTTGTCGAACGTTTTATAGAAGAACAAAATCGATTACCTCTCAAGTTACGATTCAAATATTCATCAGTTTATGATTTTTTTACATCAATGAAGAGTAATATTCAACTCGTGTTCGAGAAAAATCTTGATTTTTTTTCATTATCTGACCATGATCGTACAACATTACTTCGATATATAGTAGAATACACACCAAGTATTGCTGGCATGTTTATATTATGTCAATACAAATTATTTGACTATCCATCTTTTAATAATTCTGCTGAAATGATATTTCATCCATCTGCAACAATCTTCACTAAACGTGTTATTGATCAACTTGATCCAGATAATACATTTATTAAATTAATACTTTCAATTCTTGCTTTCTCGGCAATAAACTATAATATATATAGAAAAAATATTCAGATTGGTTTCATAAATATCAAAGCAATTTTACCTATTCAAGATATGTATACAGATTTAACATGGCGATATCTTGTATACAAATATGGTCATCATCAAGCTGTAATACGTTTTTTAAATCTTCTCAGTTGTCTTTTTTCTGTCACTGGTGCCATGATCGAAGAACATGAATCATAAAAATTTGTAGCAATCATTGTTTTTGTTCTTTTTATTGTTTATATTTATGCCTAGGTTAAGCAGTATACACCTTTTAAATAAATATTAAGCAGAAATTGCTCAGTTAACGGATGGGTCAAAAGTTTTAAGACGAAATATCTATTTATTTCGTGGAATCTGTTAACAATGTATCGAATAAATGCAGAAGCTATAAGTTACAACCAAAGTTTTGTACATTTCCTAAATAGAGTAGTATAGAAATTTTGTCTTAGGTCTTTTTCGAGACTAGTATTGTAATTTTTGAAAGGTCAAAAAATTATTTTGAATGAAAGATATGAATTGAAATCGTTGATGATAATATTTGTTTATTGTAGCATGCTTGAAAATATTTCAGATAAGTTAGTCGCTATAGATGATAATCAATATTTCGTGATCTCTTCGTTTCTATAATTAGAAAAATCATGTCTGTATGTCTAACAAAACAATAAGGAAATATTTGAAGAGCCTGATAAATAAGATTTTATGATGAATCAACAAGTTTTTACTAACCACTATAAGATCTCTATCAAAATTATCACATTAAGTAATAAAACTACCAAATGATTTCTATAATTAGAAGTATAAAAGAAAAAAAATCTTTCATTGGTATATTTTTTTAAAATTCATCTCACAATGACTTAGTTGTCAAAAAAAAAATCATTAAAACAGTATCGTCTGAGTAAGGAAAATAGTATTTTTCTATAGAGATTGAACAAGACATTTTTACTATTATTTAATAATTATTTCAATAGTTAAATACAAATAAACGAATATTAATGATTTATTTTATAAATCAGTGATATTATTTCATAATAAACTAAACATACAGATAATAAACCAAAATAAACCGTATAAATCAACATAAATTACTAATCGAAATGTTTGATATGACATAAAATATTCATATAATGTGTTCTTAATCATTGTTAATACTTAAATAATAAGAATCATTTGAAGTATTAGTCAATAGAAAGCCATTCAATTGAATATTTTCTGTAACTGTAAATCATTATTAGAGGGTGTAGGTGTGGATGTAAGTGCGAGTCTTTTCTTCGTTACATCGACATCTGAAGAAATCAATTCTTTCATTCTATCCAATGTGAAAAATTCTAAAGAGACGATTCAACTAACTAAACTATCATAGACACTAATGCTTATACTTATTACACTATTATCTGGTATGCTTCCAAGTTCTGTATATATGAGAAAGTTTAACCATAATATGTAACTGTTCCACTATACATGACAATACTACTATCGTCTACATGATCTCATACACCAATAGGAATATTTTCGACTTATAGTTCTCATAGTCTTAGATAGGTACTAGAAATATGTATTCAACATGAATTAAATGAATAGCTAATCATTATACTATAATCTTGAATAGTACATTCAAAAGTAGACTATTATTCCTTTTTTTTCCTCATAATTTAGTATAGTCTTTCATTTACCCTATGTATGTATCAATGCTACAGATGAAGTGATATAGTGAAGTTCACATTTTACTAAGTTCGTGCTATACTCATATAGCTTTATATAATTCAAATTATTGTTTGTAATTATAGAAAAAATGCAGTACCTTAAAATGATGAAAACAATTATTATAAAGTAAATGATGGTATTTTGTAATTCAAAAAAATAACACAGTAAAGTCGATGACAATTACGTAGTATTTTTTTTATCGGATATTTTAGAACAGTGTGACCTTTAATTACTGTAAATGTCAGTTTGACTGTAGATACTTTTATATAACATGAAAAACTGTCGATAGACATAATCCTTGAATTCCTCTTTCGACATTACATGTCGTTTTTATAATCGTGAAGATTAAAATCTTTGAGTTGCTCATTCACGTGAAAATCACGTGGTATGTTTGTATGAAAAAAGTGTGTAATAATTGCATATATTTATTTGACAATAGTCATCTAATGTGCTTTTTGATTGTCATTAAAGAATTTTTGAAGTAAATTAAAAATATAAAGATTTGTTCTGCTAGTGAAATATTCTTTTCAACTTGAAGGACATTTTTTTAATAATAGAATTGAATAATATTTACTAAAGTAAAAATAAAGACTAGAAAAATAGCAGAATCTGTACTGTAAGAAACTGATTACACTATTGCATACCAATCAGAAAATGAATCAATTATAGAATGTATTTCACTAAAGTAGTCTTATTTATCTTTCATATCTTTTACTTTAATCAATAACTATATATATAAACAAAATACATCAAGATCACAAGATTCAGTACTAAGGAAATTAATACGATAGTCACAATAGAAAAAGACAACAGGTGTATACCAGTGGAAGAAAAGAAAATCATCAAAAATTTGATTTTATTTTTACATCAATAAAAAAACACAGGTCATCAAGGTCAACTTGTTTCTTCTATTTTTCTGTAGAAAGAACACGTTTTTTTTTCTCTCGAGCAAGAACTAACGATCGATAATTAACGCATGCGTTCTCTTGTTCGCGTGAAAAAAAGCCTTTTTCTTTTCTGCGTTTCAGTTCCTTCGTAATGTCACAATTCGCTTATGCACTGAAGCCATAAGGTATATCTCGTTTGCCTTCTTTTCTTCGTTCTCTAATTCACCAGTGCATTTTTTACCAAGCATATACGTGACATTTTCAGATTTAATAATGGAAAGAACAGTTATTGAAGATTCAACTGCATCAAACATGCTTTCTTCTAGTATCGAGCGACAAAAGAAAACTATTTCAAGTAAATGTAAAATTTGTGGAGCTCCAGCTCGATATTCTTATTATGGTGCCATTGTATGTCATTCATGCAAAATGTTTTTCAAACGAAATGCAGAAAATAGAGAAGTCAATCGAAATTACAATGTTTTTTATTTCTTTACTTAAATTGATTTATTTAGACAGTATCAAAATGTCACTTTAGTAATGAGTGCGATATTAAAATGAATAATCGTCACGTATGTACTTCATGCCGACTTGCCAAATGTTTCAAAATTGGAATGTGTATTGAAATGATTCGTTCTTCACGATTCAAGAAAAACAAGAAAAAAAGAAAAAGAAAATCAATTACTGATTTAAATCGATCAGCATCAACAATGTTAGTGACAGTAAACAAGACATATACGCCTGAGAAGGTTAGTTTCTTTATGTTGGATATTGTTCAGTTGGTCTAACTAGTATGATCATTATAAGGGTTGATATAAGAAAAAAAGACAATGTAAAATAGTTTAGTATAATCAAAATTAACGATTTTACCTTTAAAATATAAAAAACAACGTTTATTATCTTAATGTAACTGCTAGTAATATGAGAATTGTCAAAAAACTATCTACTTCATCTAAGTTCATAATGAAAGTTCTTCAGTTGAAGTGATTTGATTGTCTGACAAAGAAATCTGTTCGAACGGAATTAAGTATACTGTAAAACTAGATTTTTATTGTATAATGAATACTAAATTCCATTTCATGACTAAAATTTTACAAAGTAAAATACGATTAGAACGTGTTGAATCAAACCTTCTGAGATCCGGACTCGAACCCTATGTCTACAACGTGTATCAGATTCGCACTGGAACTCCAGCTGTACTACTAATCCCAACATTATTCTTTAGTCTAAGTCTAATAATCATCTCAAGTTCAGCTTTTAACAGATTCTATATAGTTTTCAGAAAAATCTTTATGATAATCATAGTATAATCAAGTTACAAATGGCTGCTAGTTCTACACTATAAACCGTTGCGTTGGTCCTGAACCTGGATCTTGATCCGATCAAGTCTAGCCTCAATCTGATGGAGTCAAGATGTGATTATTCTGAAATACATATACTAGAATTATAGTTAGGTCTTTAGAAGCAATCGACTCATATAAATAATCTAAAATGTTATGTTAGAATAGTAAATCATAGATAGTATCCGAAAAATGTCAACTCGACGTCGAATCAAATTAATACTTCAGGCAAACTAAAAAATAGTTTACGATGATACTTTTATTTCTTATAAAAAGCTTCAAGAAAGTTTCTTCCTATGTAGACTGATAGTAACTTTTTTCAAATTTATTTTAATATAATAAGAAGCTATTACAAGAGTAAGCATATATCTTGAAAGTATGTAAGATTTTCCATCATCCGATACGATTGTTAGTCTTAATTTTCAATTTTGCAAGTCTATTTTTCATGGTACGAGGAACTTTAGAAAACTTTGAAAAACAGATTTATATCAATGAGAGAAAAAAGATGATTCTTTCTCTATGTGGAGTCAGAAAACAACTGTTTTTGATCGTGTTCGATTCATCTCTCAATATTCATTTGAGACGAACAGTTCTTTTTTTGTTTTTACAGGTCAATCACTATTTCTAAACCAACTAAATAGTAAACAGATATTCAACATTTGTTGAGCAAAATAGCTTTTATGAACAGAACACTCTCCAACCCAAGGGGGAAATGGCAGACTTAAAGTACATCAAAGTAGTTTAAAATTACAGAAAAGTACTTTAAAGTAGCTCGAAGTGCGTTTAAGTAGTGTAAATTTCCTTCAAGTACAAAGTCTGCCGTTTCCTCCTTGCTCTAACCACTAACTGCCCAATAGTGACACAATTCACTCATACAAAACCTACTTTTACTGTTTACTTCTACGTCTCAGATTACTGATAAGAATTTCAAACGGTTATTATTCATATAGACACTTACTAAGAAACATAAGACAAATTATGACGTACCCAAGATTATTCTGAGATATCTTGTTAAATTTTGTTAATTTTTAAACAAATTGCTTATTAAAAATAATATTTTTCTATCGACTCTTTTAGATTCCAACATTAAATCTCTTAGAATCTGATCAATCAATATTAAGTGTGGATCAATGGAATCTTTTATCAAATTTAGTTCATCGTTTCGATGAAAATAGTGGATATGCATTTGTCGAACGTTTTATAGATCAACAAAATCGATTACCTCTCAAATTACGTTTCAAACATTCGTCAGTTAATGATTTTTTTACGTCGATGAAACGTAATATTCAACTCGTATTCGAAAAAAATCGTAATTTTCTTTCATTATCTCATCATGATCGTACAGCATTACTTCGATCTACAGTAGAATATACAACAAGTGTTGGTGGTATGTTTACAGTACGTCAGTACAAATTATTTGATTATCCACCTTTTTATGAATCTGCTGAAATGATATTTCAACCATCTGCAGCAAAGTTAACCAAATGTGTTATTGATCAACTTGATCCAGATAATACATTTATTAAACTAGTACTTGCAATAGTTGCTTTCTCAACAATCAATTATACTGTATATAGAAAAAACATTCAGATTGGTTTCACAAATATCAAAGCAATTTTACCTATTCAAGATATGTATACTGATTTAACATGGCGGTATCTTTTATATAAGTATGGTCATCGTGAAGCTGTGATACGTTTTTCAAAGCTTTTAAGATGCCTTTTTCTTGTGATCTGGGTCATTGTTGAAGCACATGAATCACAAAAGTTTACAGAGATGATTGATTATGTGATTGAACAAACTGAACAAACACTCTGTTTATAGTGAAAAGAATTTCTATGTTAATTTTGTTGTTTGTACATATGAATAGCTAAAACAATATATATGCTTTAAATAAATATTAAATAACTGTTATTTAGTTATTTAAAAAAAACATTGGTTTCATTATACTGGTAAAATCGAGTAGTTTTATGAAATTAATAAAAAGTTTTCGTTTTATATACCTGCTTAACTTTATTTCGATAAGATCATTGAAAATCCACAGTAATATAAAGTTATTGACTCATTTATTTGAACCATCTGTATAGGAATAATTTTGCAAACGAGTTTTCTCTATCAAAAATGTGTCTCGTAGAATATTTCTAAAAATTATTCTTTAATGTAAATTTTTCCATATGACATACAATATAAAAGAATTCTTCTAGTTTAAAATGAATCAATTTGTTAAACTTTAAAATTTTTTGCATTGTCATGCACTCAAACTTTTGTAACAATCATATCATGAAGTATGAAAAAGCATCTATCGATTAACTTTAATGGTAATCTAGATGATCTAATTATTAAAATTGTGAAATCCTTGATTCAACAACTTAAGTTTGGCAATTGTTGAATATTTCGATAATCGAACTAATCTTTATAAAAAAAAAATTTCATTTATCTTCAATTTGCGTTCACCAATCATTTTTACATGATTTGGTAAAAATAAAAGATGTCAGGGTTATTTTGTTCTCTATCCTAGAGAATAGGATAGGATAATGGTTAGAACACTTTGCGCAGTCACGATTCACGATACAAAAATGCTTATCTTACACATCTCGAGTATAAATAGTTACAATGACATTTCGTTGATAATAATAAGGAATGTTATCAACAGATCAAACTTATAAATTTTTCATTTTTTTATTCAATCCCGAAATACAAATAAAAAATTTAGAAGAGCAAAAGATTTTGATGAATAATACAATTTCATTTAAAGAAACCTTTTCGTATTATCTTTAAAATAATATTCACGACACTGGAGAAAAATATTCAGTCCATCCAAGAAGTTTTATGATCGGTAGAAGATACAAGAAACATTCTTCTCTTGCTATTTCTTTCAAAAAGGAAAGGAAAAAATAAATTTTTTATTTAGCACCGACAGAAATATGAAGTACTGTTAGATTAGTTATTCTTTTTCTTAAGTCGAAAATCAAAAGTTATTCATAATAAAAATCTAGAGAATTCTGAGTTCCTAATCACCAGAACTACCACTTGTAAAAGCGTAGTTAACTCAACTATTTTATTTCTTGGCTCTATCGGATAGATTTATTTTTCTTCTTCTGATTACTATTATTAGAAAACCAACTGAAAAACAAAATAAAATGGTGAATTTGAATATATTCTTGAAATATAAAAAACTCTTATATTTCGTGAAATCTTTCGAAATATATGTCTGAATTGAGGAACTACTACGAATTTTGCCCATTTTACACCTAATCGATTTGAAACTACAACGTTTTTAAGCACTGTATCACATCCTACAATACATATTTTTTCAAGTACTAAATGTATAGTGAATAATTTGTTCTTGGAATAATCAATACAAACACGATCTGATTACATCTATCACATATTTAGTTAAAATATTTAAATTTTATCTAGTGAAGTACACCGTTCGACGATACAATACATTATTTTCTATTATAAAATATGCTATTATTATTGTCATTACAGTGAAGACTCTTAAACAGAATATTTTTTTTTCAATGATTATTTCAAGCACACATTCCATTGTTAAAGATGTTAAATTTAGTGAAATAACGTTCATCCATTAGTTCGTTGGAAAATAATAATACATTAATCTTCATATTAGAAATAGCTCTTTTACATACAATTTCTTATATCAACATTGTTTTAAATGTAGCCTACAAAAAAGTACTAGATCTGTTAAACTTAATCTCAGTGCACCCTTGGACTTGCCACTACATAGGAAGTCTTGTATTCAGAGAAGTAATTTTCAACATGCTGGTCTTAGTTATTTTACATAATCTTTGTCAATTTAATTATGATAAATATGATTAAAAGGAGCTAAATTCAGCCTTGACCAGGTTCATCCATTTTTTTCTAATTTTGTAATATTTGCTTCCACACATTATTTTTCTTTTTTGCAATATTAGTTTGGTAGAATACTGATATCATGTTCTTTAGATAAAAACAAGTAGTTCTTCAACATTGTGATTATAAAACAAAGAAAATTTTTCCTTTGGAGACATCTACTACACGAAGGAAAAAAATTAGCTAATACTAGTCGATAATAAACTCTTTTTTTTCTAATTCATCTGTGATAAAAACCAAAAATTTTTATCTTTTTTTTTTAACGAGTAGTTTCATGAAAATACAACACATCAAAAAATCTCAGACTCTTCTCTTATTCTGTGATGTTTAATGTAGTTGAAACAACGTCTTACACTTCATCCTTAATGATTATTGTTTGCATTTGTCAAACGAAACAGCTATTTTCTTTTAGTACAATTCAACAGTACTTTCGATTTAATCCAACAGTATTTTTCTTTAATGCAATGATCATCGTATTGTTCTTGTTCTGGAAACTACAAAAATGATTACCAAAAGACAATTTCGACTCCTTTAATTATTTGATTGTCATTTAAAATTCAAACGAAACGAAACGAAATGTATAAACCAACATCAATATCAAATCAATACTTTTGTTATATTATTTCATTCGACACGTTCTTTAACAATTGTTAATTGTTAAATGAAAAGAATAATTTGAAATTTTATTCAATATAAAATCATTTAATTTTCTAAGACAAAACAGATTTAAAAGTAAATAGAATGATGTTGTAATCTATGAATTATATTACTATCTATTATTTACTGGAATATTTTAAGCATATTATTGTTTGCATATTTTAATAGTAATTTTGTTTTGAATTTAAAATTATTTTAATTCATAGAAAACATTTTTAAACCATCAATTGAATATATAATATTAAAACAAAAAGACAATTTCGACTCCTTTAATTATTTGATTGTCATTTTTTTTCTTTGTGTAAGTTAATTCCTTCTAAAGGTATACAAGAAGTGACTTTATGTTTTCATTAATTTATCAAGCATGACGAAAATTGTCATTTGAATATAATGATGATGTCATATTGATTGACAATTAATAACTAAACTTTGATTATTTAATACTAAATTATTCAAAAATATTATTTTTTTATAAAAGAAGAATCAAAAGCAGTAATTTATTCCTATCAAGTCTGAACGAGAAAAGAACGCAACTTCGAAGACACTTTTTTTAAGAGGTTATAAAAATGAATTAATAAATTTTATTTATTAATCGTCATATTTCTCATCATGCATGTATCAAACTTTTTTCACTTTATTTCATTGAGACAATCCTTGTTATTGTCACTATAGATAGTCTTTTAATCTTCTCTTTGCACTGTTGAAGTTGTTTTTTTTTGGTTGACAGAATTTAAGCTTTCTAATTACTTATTCACTTGGATAATTTGTTCTACATGTGCGCATAAAATAAATTGCATGTTTACATGAATAAAATCCGTAACGTTGAAAAATATTCAATTTACAATAATTATTTACGTAATGTTTTAATTGTCTCAAGAAAAACATCATTGAAGAGAGAAAAAAATATACACATTTGAACTGACTCATTTAATCTTATTATTTTCGATTAAGATAATTTCTTCTATACAGCATATTTGACAAGCCAAAAATAAACAAATAGTCTGAAAACACAGAAACCGTTGTACTTGTTGCAGTTGTATTGCCCTTTTGCAAAATTATTGTAGAATGAAGCAATATTATCATGTCGCGCAAATGGATACTTGGGATTGTTGTTTAGTATGTTCTAGTATGCTGCGTCATCCTATATACGTTTCTATAGAAAGAGAATGATTCAAAATCATAAATTATAGAACTAAGCAATATTAGGACAATGGTTGCAACAAAAAAATAAATACAATATACATATTCTGGTTTAAGAAGAAAAAAGTAAAACGATTAGCCCAGTTTTTTATTTTTATAAATAAAAGTTCATCAAGGGCAACTCGGTGCATCGCTATTTTTGCACTGAATCCACATTTCTTCTTTTTACTAAAGAACAAGCATCGTCGATCGACACATTCTTTTCTTTCTCTCTCTTTTTCTTTTCTTGACAAGAAAGCAACAATTCTTTTTCTCTATCAAGTTTTACTACACAATATAGTTATGCACTGGAGGTAGAGGTTACTGTTTGATTTGCCTAGATCGTTGAATTCTGTCTTAAGCCAGCAGGGTTATTATCTACAAAGAAAGTATGTTTTAGTTGACCTTGAATAATGAAAGAACCATTGACTGAAGATCCGAATGCTGTGTCGACATTTGCGAACACTGTTGTGCGGCAAACAAAAACAGTTCTATGTAAATGTAAAATTTGTGGAGCATCTGCACGTTATTCTTATTATGGTGCTATTGTATGTCATTCATGTAAAATGTTTTTTAAACGAAATGCAGAAAATCAAAAGGTTAATGAAATTTTTAAAACATTTCGTTATTTTTTTTTTTCATCATATTTATTTTCAATCTTCTAGTCAACATTACAATGTTCATCTGGGAATAAGTGTGTTATTACCATGAATAATCGTCATGCATGTGCTTCATGTCGACTCCGAAAATGTTTAATAAATGGAATGCGTATTGAAATGATTCGATCATCTCGATGCAAGAAAAATAAGAGAAATGAAAAAAGAAAATTGATTATTAATTCAATACCATTAACGTCAACAACATCAGTGACACCGGACAAAAAATATCCATTTGATCAAGTAAGACTCTTTACATATATTATATATGTATTTAATTTCTACAAGAAGTATTAAATCATCAATAGATTATTTCTACCTAACGATATGTAATAATGATACCATAGAATTTTAATAATGATTTTTTTTTTCTGAAAAAGATTGAAGTTGTATTTATTCCTGTGAAAACCTTTATAATACTGTTCATTTTCAATAAGCGTAACCGTCGTATCATCTGTATTTAGTTGTATTATTTTAGAGTTCATGATAAAAGTTTCCTCAATTAAGATATATTGTATTCTAAGAATGACATGTACTAACACAAATGAAAATAAATTACTCAAATACACAAACACAAAGTCAGCAAAAAGTAAAATTAGTATCAGCACATGTGTTAGATAAGTTTAAAAACATCAGATATTTTTCCGTTTGATCGACATAATTTTTTTTTCTGAACTATTTCATAACTTTACTGAAGAACTTTTGCCTTGGAGAGAAAGAAATGAATTAGATATTGACGGCACTATCTGATATTTTTAAAACGAACGCAAACATTGGTTAAATGTCCAGAAAAACATTTTCAATTAGCGAATGTTAATATAAGTATTGGGTTTCTGTATACCCACACACTCAGTTTGAAGGGCTAGTACTACAGACTTAATGGAAATATTACCATCTACAATCGAGACTTGTATGTAATGATTAATGAATTAAAAAAAAAAGGATGCGTTCAACATGTTTACGATGAAACAACTTGACAATAATATGCATAAAACTCCATAGAATAAAAAAAATTTATGTTTTGAAATCAACAAATACTTGATTGAATGAAAGAAAATGAAAAAAACCTCTTTATCCTCAAATAAATATTCGAATAAGATTAGAAAAATATTACAAATATATTTTGTTGTCACTATCAGATAAACTATTGAATTATGTTCTCATTCCTATTATCACAATCACCTGTTCTAATATACACCTGTCGATGAAACGTGACCAAACCTAAACATCAAATCGAGTTTCTCTTAGAAAAAATAGCAAAGTAATATAATCAAGTGAATTTGATGAATTTCAAAATTTTAATTGATTACTCATATGACGAGTAATTAGTATAAACCAAGAAAAAACTGTAAAAGTTTGAAAATATTTCGAATGTTTTCAGATTTGTTTTTCAAACTTAAGCCCCCCCTCAAAAAAAAGTCAATTTTCGTGAGAACTGTCAAAATTGAGATAAATACATAGGAAAATAGCCCGTCGTCTGCTCTTTCAAAATCAATAAAAATTTTTCCTAAAACCTCCATTTTTTCCAGAAATATTCCAGAATTTCAGAGAACCAGTTTTTGAAAAACCAGCGGTTTTTTTGAAATATCCAGAAATGTTTTTCGTTTTTTCTCGATTTATGATTTTTTGATTTTGGTACAAGGATTTCTCAGTCCGGGTCCGTCCAACATATTTAAATTTTTTTTGTTTGAAAGAGCGCGTCGAGATGCAGATCATCATAGAGTCGTTTTTTTAATTAAGCTTTGTTTTTTATTGGGTGTACACACATAGACACTCATTTTTGGCGCTTTTTTTGAGTCATTGAACTTGTGATCCCCTTTTTCCGCTAAAAAAAGTAAGAATTTAAAAAAAAAGGACTCTATAATGACCTGCATCTTGACGCGCTCTTTCCAACAAAAAAAAATTTAAATATATTTACCCAGCCTGGACTGAGAAATCCTTGTACCAAACTGAGCTATTTTTGACCCTTCTTTGGTTTATATCTCTGTTAAATCCCCGCGAACCGAGCTGAAAATTTTACCACAGCCTCCTCACTTCAGCCCCAACATATGCTCAAAATTTCAGCCCATTTGAACGTTTCTGGGCTGAGATTGATTTTTGAGGGGGGGGAGGCCTTAATGTAGTTTCTCAAAATATTTACTTTAGAAATTTAATTTTGTTTCTTTTTCTCTTAGGCTCCAACATTAAATCTCTTAAAATTCGATCAAGCAACATTAAGTATGGATCAATGGAATCTTTTATCAAATTTAGTTCATCGTTTCGATGAAAATAGTGGATATGCATTTGTCGAACGTTTTCTGGAAGAACAAAATCGACTACCTCTCAAATTACGATTTAAACATTCATCAGTTCAGCATTTTTTTATATCACTGTTGAGTAAAGTTCAACTTGTATTCGAGAAAAATCGTGATTGTCTCTTATTATCTCAACATGATCGTACGATTTTACTTGAAAGTACAGTAGAATATACAGCAACTATTGGTGGAATGTTTCTTTTATGTCAAGCAAGGTTATTAGACGATTTGTCTTTCGTAAAGTCTGCTGAAATGATATTTCAACCATCTGCGATTGTTTGTATTAAACGTGTTATTGATCGATTTGATTCTGACGTTACATTTATTAAATTAATACTTGCAATTCTTGCTTTTTCGACAATTAGCTATACTGTTTATAGAAAAAATACTCAATCTAATTTAACAAATATCAAAGCAATTTTATCTATTCAAGATATGTATACAGATTTAGCATGGCGATATCTTTTATATAAGTATGGCCATCATCAAGCTGTGATACGTTTTTCAAATCTTCTACGATGTCTTTTTTCTGTAAGTGAGGTCATTGTCGAAGCACATGAAGCACAGCAATTTACAGATATCATTGATTATGTTGTTGAACAAACTGAAGAAGCGCTTTTTGATTAATTTGTGTGGCTTTTTATCTTCTGTATTTAATTAATTAAATTGTAAACTAGAATTTATGAAAACATGGTAAAAATAAATAGTTTGATGAATTCAGTTATTTGAAAAACAATTCGCTTATTTTTTTTTCATAAAAATCAACTTGTTCTATGCATTTACCAATAGAATGGTTTTTGTACATACTTACATTGTTTTCTATCAATAGAATCACTGAAAATTCATATAACAATAAATAATTTCTGTTATTAATTTTTCAAAAGATTTTCATATCAAAATTGTTTCTAATAGAATGTTCTCTAAAAGTGAAATAATGTTTATCTTTGCAAAATAAAAGTGTTATAATCAGATAGACATTCTTATAGAAAACGGTTAGGTCGATACAAAGGCGTTTTCTCAACTAGACTATTATTTGTAAGATTGTATGTGCAAAGCTATTTAGCGATTGTCTACTAGTACATGGCAAGCCGTTATCATCATCATACAATGTCAGTCATAAGTTTGTTGATATCCTTGATAGTTTAATCAAACGTACTGAAGACAGAAACGGAAAAGAATATGAAGTAGAGAAAAAAATTCTTTTAATATTATTGTATCATGAAAAAAAGACACAATTCCAATTCGTATCTGTAAAGGAAGAATATTGATAATATTTGACGACAACTTTCACTTTTTATAAATGATTTTAGATACAAGAACGACAAAGTAACTATCCATTAGTTAAAAAATCATTATTTGATGAGGAAAAATTGCTTTTGTACAAAAAATAAACATAGCCTGTCCTATACGATGAATATCAAAAAGATTGAAATTATCATTCTGATGGATTATGTTTGTAGCCAATAGCGGATAGTAAATGAAGTTCTAGCCTATGATTTCAACATACATTGAATGCTAAGTTATTTTTCTTATACTTGGAGTTGACCAAAAGTCTGTAGAACGGTGTTTAAAGGACCTTATCGGATAATGTGAGCTATTCAGAAATGATAAACCTAATGTGCCATGTTATAGAGCTTTTTGAGGCGCGTCGAATGGTATGTAGTAAATCATGTGTTCATACGAATTTGAAGGAACTAGAGTCAATTTACTGATCGGCGACTATACATGCACATCTAAGTGTGATAGGTTACTGAATATTGTGGTCCTTGGTATTAGTCGAAAGTGTTTGTAAAATATTTTTTTCACATATAATTTTGTAGATTTTTTGACGGGCTACAACTTCATATATGAAGCATTTTCGATTATCTTGTCTGTGTTGGCATGGATGTGTAGTCATCTATTAGTAAATTGACTCTAGGTCTTTCAAAATCTTATGAAAACAGGATTTACTATACACTATTCGACGCGCTTCAAAAACCTCTACAACATGGTATATTGGTTTTTTATTTCTGAATAGAATACCTCATCCGATAAGGTTCTTTAAACACAGTTGTACGAACTTTTGGTCAACCTCAAGTATTCAATCAAACATAATATTATCAAATGAGAAAAATATGACGTCAGTTTTTCAAGTAAAATTTCAATGATAGGGAAAGAATGAACAGAAAAGTCACTATTTTTTTCTTACAAGAAAATCAATCGAACTGATATCCACTATGTGAGTTCATATTTGGTCTATAAGAACGTGTTGGTGAAATTAGCAAAAGTCCAAAAGGGTGTTTGCCTACTTAATATAAACGTCAAAGAGTAAATATTCTAGAATATCTTTTCCTCACATAGGAAATACATTAGTTTTTCACACTGTCTTGAATAAATGCATATTGGTAAAGTATGATTGTGATCATGAACAATTCATTAATCTGGAAAATACCAAGTTTTAGCGACTGTATTCAATATAGAAATTTAATATCATTATTAAAAACAACAGTTTGATTGATATATGAATAGTAACAAAGAATTAATGAAAACTAAAATATGATGTGATACGAATTCAGTCGTCGATTTAAAAATTTCTTTTCAAATAATGAAGATATTAACCGTGTGATAAGTATAGAAATGCAACTTTGATGTCTATCGATTGTAAGCTACATATAAAATGAGCGAAACTGCTGGATACTTAATAGAAAACAAATTACATTTTGAAAGTATTACAGTAACTATTGTAGAAAATCTATTAATACTATTTTCAGCTTGATAGTAAGAAAACGTTCTAGCCCGCTAAAAATGTTGAACTGTCCGTACATGTTGAATATAAAAATATGGCATTATCAGTCACTGAAAACTCATTTTAGTAAATTTTCTCCATTGCTGCCAAGTTCATTTTGTTGTGTTATATAGAACAATTTCATAGGATTGTAAAACAGGTAAGCAGCACCAAACATCTGCTTAAGACTAAGACAATATGAGAAATGAACTTCAGAATTTCATTCAAGATTTTCATCGAATAATATCGAATCTAAGTAAAATATAATATAAATAGTTATAATTGTTCCACTACTAAATCTCAATTGTAAAAAAATACGTTAAAATTGCAGATCCTAATCAAACAGTGAATGAATTCAACAAAAACTATAGTAGACACGCGCTAGATCAAATGTCCATGAGAATAGGAAACTTTGCTCGTGTTAAATAAATCATCAACAGCGGAAAGTAAAACCTCAAATGATCATATTTCAAATCTGAGCGATGCGATTCTATTCAGAAAAATCTCAGCCGAAGAATGTATTGATATTCCGAAGTTTGCCTTAAATATGATTTTCTAGTAGATTCACTTCTATCGTCGATTGAAATTGGAGAATTGGTTGCAAGTGAAGTACTCGATAGTTCTGGGACGTTGTTTGTAGTAGGAATCTTTTTTACTCCTTTAAATACTATCATTTTTGCAACAGTCTTAAATACAGCATATCTACGGAATGCAATAATTATAGTGAAGCGATTTAAGCCACATATTCGAAAGTGTTGATTAGTTAACCTCAGTAACTTTGTTTTGTAAACATTATTTAATGAACACTGAAGAAAAACACAAATAAAGTCTTCGAACATATTCAATTGTGTCTTAAAAGTGAAAGACAATAATGGGCAAAATTTTAATATCTGTACTAAATAACGAACACAAGTTTTTTGTTTGTAAACCTAATCAACATAAAAAAAACAAGAAAAATGAAAAAATCGTAACGTTCAAAAAAAGACTAAAAGATTTTGCACTTAAAATAACTGTTTAAAATTTGAATTATTTTAATGTCACCAAAAAGACTTTATGTTTATACTAATGATGCATTGATTTAATTAACCATTTAGGTACTAGCATTCTTCGTAAAGTGAAGTTTTTAAAGGCTTCTTTATTTTCGAATAACTCACGAACATAAAAAGATGTCGAGACGCTTCGAAGCAAATTTGTTTGCTAACCCTTAAAAGCCCAAGGGGGTTTTTCTTGCAACAGAAGGAAGAGAACCATACAAATAGAGCTGATGGACCTTCAGTATGCTCATTCTATAGCTAAAACAAAGTACCTTGTTCTTTTCCTAGATTTACACAATGTCCTCTAGCAGAAATCTTGGAACTTGAAAAAAACGTGAAAGAAAGGAATTTCGATCTGAAATTTCCTCTTTAATCAGTTTATATAATCCTTAAATTGCCCTGGAATTTGCATGAAAATAGATTCTTTGTTGTTGAAATATTGGAAGCAGAAGAGAACCGGCAATATTTTGCAAAAACCTCTGAAAATCCGGCTTCTCTTCAACATGCCGTATTTTCAAAAGCAAACAACAGTTGGTGCTGAAAATTTCAGGGCAACCTAGATAGCGTATCAGTTATTTATGACCAAAACCCCAAGTCAAAATCCCTTTGTTTTGTTTTTTTCTTGAGGCGGAATATTCCATAGAAGGAACATTTTCTTTATGATAGTGTCCTGTGTTAGTGGAGTGGTTTAAAATTTACGAGATGGTTTCATCAGATACCTTAACACTATATTTAACAATATCGCTTAAAAAAACCAAAGCCGCATGCCATTCATTAGGCATGCACCAAATCCTGTTTTTAGGTGATGATGACTCATTTATGATGTCAAGAACCGTCAGTTTAGGGGTGTCAGCTTAGCATTGGCATTGCATTATTTTATGCAAATTTTAATACTTTTGTATTAGAATTAAAAATTTAACTTAATACTCTTGTGTTAGAATTAAAAAATTAATTTAATACTTTGGCATTAGTATTATAAAAGTATTAGTCTAATATTAATGCCTATAGTTCCAGAAAACAGAACAAAGTTGCTCCTTTATGATAATTTTTTTCCCAAAACAGAACACTTTTGTTCTTTTATTGGGAACAGCTTCCCATAACGGAACATAAGTGTTCTGTTTTGGGAAAAAAATTATCATAAAGAAGCAATTTTGTTCTATTTTCGGGAACTATAGGCATTAATATTAGACTAATACTTTTATAATACTAATGCCAAAGTATTAAATTAATTTTTTAATTCTAACACAAGAGCATTAAGTTAAATTTTTAACCCTAATGCAAAAGTATTAGCATTTTCCTAATACTAATGCTAAGCCGACACCCCTACGTCAGTTCCTGTCAAATCTTCGGGTGCTCTCTACTGAAATTTTATTGCTCTATCTGATGCTAGCTACAAATATATCAAATCCTACTATAAAATGTGCAGGATTTGACAGGATTCGATCAAAAAACGTGAATTTTCGGTCAAATCCTGCATATTTTTCAGTCAGATTTAACATATCTGTAACTAGCATCAGATAGTGCAATAAAATTTGAGTAGAGGGCAGGGGTCCTAATGGGCTGGACTGGGCCTGAGAAATTCAACCCATGGGCTATCGAACTTTAACCCGGCCCACCCATGGTTTTCTCCGAAAAATCGACCCAGCCCATGGGTGCCCATGGGTCACATATGTTATTAACATTTTCCGCATAGATAGTTTAGTTTGTCATATTGGAAGTCACTAACGGCTGCATTGTCTCGGATCACTCATCCGATAACAAACTGACTACGTGGTTGACATACACTAAAGCCCTTGTGACTAGTATGTGGTTAGTCAGTATGTATGGGGAGCTTAAGTGATTAAGCGGAAGAACTCTGAGTCAGACCGTCCTTCTGTCCAGAGCTACATTTAGTAATAGATATAGGAAAAAATATCGGGCTCTCGAAACTGTTCTCGGACAGCACCCTACACCGCAAGGTAGCCGAAAGGCGGGGTATTCTTCTTCTTCTTCTTGTCATATTGAAAAATATATAATAGACCTTACTATTCTTTTAGTTCATAAATTAAATTTCAAAACTTACTTTTCCAATTAATAATAATAAAGAAGTTATGTCAATAAAAATATCAAAAAATAAATAAAGAGAAACATTAATTTCTTCATACCTGCACATAATTAATACAAAGTCAAATGAAGATATCAATATCAGCATCATAAATACACAGTATATATTAAAAGTCAAAAATATCAATAAATAAATATAATATACAAAAATAAACTAAGACAATATGAAACAAAATATTGCTTTAGTAGTGTTTTTACTGACCTAATTACTATAATATTATCGAGTTGATCAGAACTTAATGGTGTTCGACGTTCATTAACAATAAAACCACTTCAACTGAAACATCTTTCTACTGCAGGTGATGATGCAAGTATACAATGGATTTGTCGAGCAAGTTTCGATAGAACAAGAAACATTCCTTGATATTCTTTCAAAAACTCAAGTGGATTTGATGACAATTTTGATTAGTCAAGCTCTAAAGCTAAATATCTTGCTAATTCATCTGTATGTAACGGATTATAATCATAATCTTCACTTCCTGGACTATTATTCTCAACTTTTGATGAATTCAGATCATCGTCATCTTCATATTGTTCAAGAATAAAAACTTGAACTTTACGTTTTATATTTTCAGGCGAAATTGCATCTTCTTGTTGTTTGGACTTGTAAATAATTCGTTTTATTTCTTCACGAATATAGCTATATTGTAGCAAATAAAAGTGTTAAATTCGATTTATCGAAAAGAAAATTTCAGTGATAATACGCGACATCTTTTGAAAATTTTTATTTTTTATTTAAAATATGGCCCATGGGCACCCATCAAAAAAATCGGCCCGGCCCATGGTCTTCTGTTAAAAAAATTTCGGCCCATGAGCTGGGCTGGGCCAGGCTGGGCTTGGCCCAGCCCATTAGGACTCCTGGTACAGGGCACTCGAAGGTTTGACAGGAACTGACTGTTCTTGACATCGAAAATGAGTCATCTTTATCACTTAAAAACAGGATTTGGTGCATGCCTACCGCTTATATGAATAAAAAAACTTGAGAAAAGAAAAGCGATTCTAAAAAAATTACGAGTCGTGAAAGGTTGATTGTTCGGTTTAAGAGTCATTTGAGAAGTATATTTTCATTTCTGTATGATCGCTAATGTCATGTCAGTTCAGAAAAATGTTGGTTTTTCCACATAAGCTCTGGTAGTGAAATTTATTCGAATTATTCTAATGTTCCTTGGAATAGATATTGGGCTTTTAAGGGTTAACCAACAAAAATATGAGATCACGATGAATCATTCTTTCGTCACCTTTATTTCTCTGTATGTTTTATTAGTAGGTGGTATTTCGTAATGCATTTCTCGAACCATATTCTAATTAACCCGCATACTGTGTATGAATAATTTAAAAACATTTTAGAGCATCTAGTGCAATTTTTTAGTAAAAATAATATTCATCGCCTGTCGAGAGAACCTCTTCAGCTGCTTTCCTCCCGATTTCACTGTTTTTTTTTGCCATTAGATACTACATAGTGTTATAATCAAAACTCTAAAATATTATGTTTCTTATTAGTCTTTGAGTGAACTCTCGAATTTTTAGTCTATCGCTTTTCTAGAGAGCCTGGGTTTTCAAAAAAAATCCTGATTCAGAATTTTGATTTGAAACGTTCTGTATATAGAAACCTGATCTAGACTAATTTCCATTAAAAAAAACTCATAAGTTTTGAACGCAGTCTTTTTCGAGATATGAGACTTTCACGATTGAGATGCTTTGCCATGAATAGTGTATAGAACATGCATTTCTTGAAAGCTACGTATTTTGAAGAGACTTTGGACACCTTTTATAGAATGTTAAAATGATTATTATTTTTGTTTTTTTTGTCAAGTATGATATACTTTGATATTTCTATTATTTTTGTTTTTTTTGTCAAGTATGATATACTTTGATATTTCACTGCGTTATTTTAATATAATATATGACCAAAATAACTTTGATAGTGCGCAAATCTGAACTGTCCTTTTCGTGTGAAGTACAAATATAACTAATTGAGAAATTTGAAGAAAGAACAACCAAAATTTCTTTATGTATATACAAGCAAGATTATTAAGAACAATTTCTTCTGTGTTGTATGCATAACCTACGTTTGTTCTTTTGACCCACATACCCTAGACAAACAATCAACATATTCTGTTTTTTCGAATCATCCCGCTTTATAGGCAAAAAGCACATTTTTTCTTTTCTGTTTTCTTTTTTTTTCCTCTTGCGTATCTGCAGTTTATTTATGTGTTAGAAGAAACTGTGAGTTTCATTCACCTTCATAACCTCGCTACGTCGAAATTTTTCAGTTCTTTTCTTTTTATAATAGGCAATTGTGGATTTCACAATTGATGAATGGAACAAATACTTATTAAGAATTTACTAACTACATCGACATTTTCTAAAACTGTTTTACGACAGAAAAATACAGTTCTATGTAAATGTAAAATTTGTGGAGCATCTGCAAGATATTCTTATTATGGTGCTGTTGTATGTCATTCATGTAAAATGTTTTTTAAACGTAACGCAGAAAATCGAAAGGTTAATGTAAATAGAAAGAAAACTCTTGTTGTTTTTTAATATTTCTATTGATTGTTTTTAGTTAGTATTAAAATGTTCGTTTGGTAATGAGTGTGATATTGATATAAATAATCGTCATATATGTGCTTCATGTCGACTTCGAAAATGTTTCATGAATGGAATGCGTATTGAAATGATTCGATCATGTCGATACACGAAGAGTCAAAAAGATGAAAAAGGAAAGTCGATTTTTAATTCAATACCATTAACGTCAACAACATCAGTGGTATCGAACAAAAAATGTCAATTTGACCAGGTGAGAACGTTCACACATTATATTTATTCGATTTCTACAAACTATATTAAATCATTAAAAGATATGCTAGTGAAAATGTTTATAATACTGATCAATTCGAATAGGCATAACCAACTTATTATTTCTTTTAGTTGTTATATTTTAGAGATAATAATAAAAGTTTGTTCAACCAATTGATATTCTATTTTCAAGAATAATATGTACTTATTAATACAAAAATCTAGTTTGTTCAAGTACAAAGACAAAAAAAAATCAACAAAAAGTAAATTAGTATTAGCATGTGTGATAGTTAAGTTTTTGAACGTCAAATCAAGTTTGTCAAAGAAAAATCAGCAAAATCAAATAATAAAGTGAATATGATGAACTTTAAATTATGATATCGATTGTTGACAATTTATCAATATGTACAAAGACAAAATTATACAAGTTTGAAAATATTTCGAATATTTTTCAGATTTGTTTTTCAAACTTAATGTAGTTTCTCAAAATATTTACTTTAGAAATTTAATTTTGTTTTCTTTTTCTCTTAGGTTCCAACATTAAATCTCTTAAAATTCGATCAAGCAACATTAAGTATGGATCAATGGAATCTTTTATCAAATTTAGTTCATCGTTTCGATGAAAATAGTGGATATGCATTTGTCGAACATTTTCTGGAAGAACAAAAACGATTACCTCTCAAATTACGATTTAAACAATCATCAGTTCAGCACTTTTTTATATCACTGTTGAGTAAAGTTCAACTTGTATTCGAGAAAAATCGTGATTGTCTCTTATTATCTCAACATGATCGTACGATTTTACTTGAAAGTACAGTAGAATATACAGCAACTATTGGTGGAATGTTTCTTTTATGTCAAGCAAGATTATTAGATAATTTGTCTTTCGTAAAGTCTGCCGAGATGATATTTCCACCATCTGCGATGATTTTTATTAAACGTGCTATTGATCAATTTGATTCTGACGTTACATTTATTAAATTAATACTTGCAATTCTTGCTTTCTCTACAATTAACTATACTGTATACAGAAAAAATATTCTGATTAATCTAACAAATGTCACAGCGATTTTACCTATTCAAGATTTATATACAGATTTAGCATGGCGATATCTTTTACATAAATATGATCATCATCAAGCTGTGATACGTTTTTCAAATCTTCTACGATGTCTTTTTTCTGTAAACGAAGCTATTGCTGAAGCACATGAATCACAACAATTTATGGATATAATTGATTTTGTTTTAAAAGAAACTAATACGAAGATCTTAAATAGTTAATTCATGTTTTTTTTCCTCTGTAAATATACAAGTTCGACTTTTTTTTTTTTTTTTAGAGAAATATCTTTGTTGAATAAATAACAAATAGATGTTAAAAAATTGCTTAAAAAATTACTTTACTCGTTCTTATGAGAAAATAAGACTGCTATGTGATATTAATAAAAAAAAAACATTGTTTTTAATTAAGAATTCTTTCCCTTTTAGCTTTACATAAAGCCATTAATTAGTCGATTTTCAATCTTCTGAAAAGTGCTATTTAATTTAAAATAATTAACACTTTGAATTCTGACAAGCAGTTTTAATCCTAAACTTAACAGTGTAATTCAACAATTATATCTTCCATAAGAAAACGTTATAGCAATAAATAAATAGAAAATATGGTAACTGTATATCTGATGAAAAAACTTGCATGTTAATTTAGGTTATGAATATTTTGTAAATGATATTCGCTCGCATTCTTCAAAAGACTTATTTGTAGGTAAAGACAAAATGTTTTCAGAGCTCAAGACTATAATATTACGTCTAGAAGAAAATTAGATATTATGACTAAATGATGTTATTCAATTT